ATCTGAATTCAAGTCCTGATTCTTCTACTTGCAAGCTGTATGGTCTTGGCCAAGTGACTTTTCCTCACTGAGCTTCAGTTTCCTAATCTGTAAAATGGGGGGAACAAGAGTACATATGTGCAGGGTTGCTGTGAAGGGTGCCATGGTACAAGTAATGCCCACTTTGCCTGTAGCAGACAGAGGTTGTCTGTTCGGGATGTTCCCCCGACAGGTCTATACCTCCCAGTCCCTGGCACTGCTCAGCCCCAAGGCAGCTCGGGCCAGTGGGTAGTCCCCTTGCTGTCCATCTTCACACAGCCACCAGCACAGTGCCGTCTGCTGCAACAGCTCTGTATAAGAATAGGATCTGAGATGTCCAGCTGTGTTGTCCCAATCCAGATGGAAGCTCCCAGCTCTGGTCCAGCAGAGGGGTGCCACCCATGGTCATGGCAAACCCAGCTGGGCTCGTTGCTCCCATGGGCAGCAGGACCTCGCTGTGGAGCCCAGCTGGGGTCAGCTCAGCTTCCTGGGCACTCCAGGCCCTGGGCTGGGAGACTCCTTTCAACAATTTTCATTACCCCTAATCACAGTCGAGGAAACTGAGGCCCCAGGAGATGAAAAGTCTTGTGTTCAGACCTGAGTTCACATCTTGCTTCTGCCACTTCCCAGCTGTGTGACCTCAGGCAAGCAATGTAGCCTCTCTCTGCTCCAGTCTTCCTCTATAAAATCTCAATAAAACCTCCCTGACACCAGCGTTGTTCTTATGAATCAGTAATCTGGCCCAGCTCTTAGTTTAGGACCTGGCACATAGTAAGTGCAGGGTGAACATTAGCTATTTTTACCATCTGTGGACTCTTGGTGTCTCTTCAGCTAAAAAAGGAGAGTAACAATATGTGTTTCATAAGGTTATTGTATGGGTTAAATAAAATATGCTTTCAATCGCGCATTTCTTTCCACTAGTGTTTACCAAGCAGCTGCCGTGTGCTTTGTTCTAGATGCTGAGACAGAGCTGCTGGTGTAGGACACGCTTCCTGCTCTCGGGGGTCTTAGGCCTGGTGCGAAGTCAGACATTTAATACTTGAATGGTACAAACAAGTCTCGGATTGCAGTTGTGGTGAGCGCCAACTACATATAGGGCTCAGCACGGCTCCCGGCACAGTGCAAGTGGTTATTCTTATGACTTCATTACAGTTCAAGTTTATAAATATTTTCTGTTATGGAAATCTGAAAAGATTTCCGTGGATTTGTGTGGCGTTAACTGTAGGCTTGCTGCTTTTGCTGCAGTGTTTGCCGTGGGAGTGAAAGGCTGTTGATTTGGAGGTTCCGTCCAGGAGTTGCCGAGGCTCAAGATCTGCCCAGGCCCCTGGTCCGGGGGGCCTCCTTTGGGAGGTGCCCCCAGTCCTCACTCCCACTCCCAGGACTTGGGGAGCAGACAGTAGACCGGCGTTGGCGCGAGCTCGTTTGCTAGAGGGGCATCATGAACACTGAGGGTGGGATGTACTCTCTTACAAAGTAGGGAGCCCCCCGCTCCCCAGGGTGCACATAGGGCTGGGGGTGGCCTGTGGAAGTTGGGTGAGGGCCCCTTCTGCAGGAAGCTTCCCTGGGCCTCTGTGTGCCAGGCACTGCTCGGGAACCCTTTCCCAGGGACCCGGGAGGAAGTGCGGCGTCCGGCACCCGTGCTCACAGGGCGGCACAGGGTGTGCCTCCCACTTGAGGGTGTTATCTGAGAAAGTGCGAGTCCTTGCGTGTGTCCGATGACCAGTGGGTACGAACGTGGGCACGGCAGCCTGGACGACGTGCGAACAAATCCCAGCACACTTGCTGTGAGGCCTCTTAATCTCTCTGAGCTTCAGTTTCTCCTCCTGCCTCCTGGGGTCGGTGGCAGGCCCTGTGAGGCAGGAGGGAGGTTCTCGTCTTGGAGTAGGTCCCCAGGGAGCAGCGGGTTCCACCCCCGCCCCATCCTGCTCCTGGGCCGAGCCTTCGCTCTGCGGCTGTGAGTCAGCCAGGCTGGAGTCTGCACTGTGCGTCTGGAACAAAGCTGCCCGTGTCCCACATCCTTGCCCCCCTGCTCACGCTGGGTGCTTTTTGTTGTGGTTGATGCAGTGATGGGGTTTTCAGGATTGCCCCTGCTGAATCCTCAGGGAGATAACTGAGGTACATTGCTAAGAGGGGAGAGGAAAAACAAGGTCAAGAGAAAGAATAAATCTGCAGTTTCAAACCTAGCAAACTTGGAGCTTCTCTCTACTAAGGAAATTATTTGTATTTATGAAAATCTTGGAAACATGGTACCGCCAGCGAGAAAGGAAGCGGAAATGGCTCCTATGAGAGTGCTAGCATATGTTTCTGTGATTTAACGGTTTCCCGTAACAATGTGTAGCTATTTTAAAAGCAGACGAATGACTCATGGTATCCAGCCACCAGCAGTCCACTGTGATGGCAGGAAGTGTGTACTCCAGAGGAGGCAGGCTTGGGTTCGACTCCCATCTCCATCATTTACCAGCTGTGTAACCTCAAGCAAATTACACATCCTCTCTGAATTTCCTTTCTCTCCTTTATAAAATGGGCTGTTGGAAGGATAAATAAGCTAATGAACATATAACTCTTAATGCAGTGCTTGTCCATCCATGCAAAAAATGCCACAGCTTGTATATAATTAACCAGATTAATTCCAATATTTATAGTAATTCTTAGTTGTTTAATAGTAGACTTTTAAGGCTATAAATTTTCCTCTGATTACCACTTTGGCCAGAATCCATAAGTTTTGCTATATGGCATTCTTTTCGTCATTGTCTTCAAACAGATTTTATATTTTTTCTTTGACCTAAGAGTTACTTGTGTGTGTGTGTGTGTGTATGTGTGTGTGTGTTCAAATGGCTAGAATTTTTTCTATATTTATTGTTAAATCCTAGCTGTATTGTAGTAAGGTCAAAGAATATGAATAATATGGCATTTGCTTTTTGAAACTTATTGAACTTTTCTTTATAGTCTAGTATATAATCAGTTTTCATACATATTTCATGAGTATTTGAAAAGAACTATGTTTTCATTTGTATAAACCAAACTTATTAATTTTACTATAATACTATAACATAGATATACACACATGCATATATGTGTGTGTATGTATGTATATAACCATATAAATTCTGGAGGAAACATGCCAAAGGCTCTCTCTATGGTTGTGTCTTTGTTGAACTCACTTTTCATTTCTTCTTCTTTTTTTTAATGTTTACATTTGTATTATTATTATTATTATTTCAATAAAATCTATTGAAATCTATTAGGGGTATAAGTGGTTTTTGGTTACATGGATGAATTGCGTAATGGCAATGTCTGGATTTTTAGTGTACCTGTCACACGAATAGTGTACATTGTACCCAATAGGTGGTTTTTCTTTCCTAACCACCCCTTCTGTGTCTCCAGTGTCCATTGTGCCACTCTATGTGTCCCTGTGTATTCATAGCTTGGCTCTCACTCCTAAGTAAGAACATGCAGTATTTCGTTTTCCATTCCTGTGTTATTTCACTTAGGATAATGGCCCCCAGTTCCATCCAAGTTGCTGCGAAAGACATATTTTCACTCTTTTTTTATGGCTGAGTAGTATTCCATGGTGTACATATATACCGCATTTCCTTCATCCACTCCTTGGTTGATGGGCACTTAGGTTGATTCCATATCCTTGCAATTCTCACTTTTCATTGCTAACAGTGTTTTGCTATGTCTATCCTTATGCAATGTTGCTCATGCATAGAAACTGGTAATCATTATATCTTCTCAATCAACTGTGCTTTCTTTCAATATCAGTCACTCATCTTTGCCTTGCTCACTGTATTCTGCCTTGAATTCTGCTCTACGACCCTTCTCCTGCCCAGTCCCCCACATCGTGGGCACAGTGGCAGTGCTCATGGGGGGCCACTGGAAGGATGTGCCCCCTGTCATCTATGCACACCTCCAGGTGGTCCGTTAACTGGGAGCTGTGCAGTGGCTCACACTGCACAGCTAGTCCCCCTTCCCCTTCCCTGGCCAGGCAGCTAATCACTGGCCCGTCATAGCTATGTTTTTATACCACATCTTATTTTCTTATTAAGCACCCTTGGCTGAATGCTCTGTCTGGCCTTAGTTCTTTATGCCAAGAACTGTTGCTGTTTAAATTTCTTCTTTTGTTTCTTAGTTAAATGATGATGTGTGTCTGCACACGCATGAATGAACAGATAGACAACTAGAGATGCAGCTAAGTAAACAAAGAAAAAACTGAATTCAGCCCAAATGGGCATTCTCCTGGACATGACACCTTAGTTCTGCCGTGTTTCCCCCAAAATAAGTCAGGGTCTTATATTTATTTTTCCTCAAGAAGATACCCTAGGGCTTATTTTCAGGGGATGTGTTATTTTTCCCTAAAAGCCTCAGCTTGCAGCTTGCACAGGATGGCTGGGACCTGACCGGGGGAGCCGACCTTGTTGGTGGGGCTGCCCGCACCTTTCTGGTCACCTCTGGGATAGCAGCTGTCACGATGGGGCAGATGAGAAGGGCTGCTCGTCTTCTTTACTGCTCCGTGACGAAATGCATGGGTTGTGCAGATACGCTATGTAGCCACGCCCAGCACTAGGTCTTATTTTCAGGATAGGGCTTGTATTGTGCAAATGCTTAGAAATCCTGCTAGGGCTTATTTTATAGGTAGGTCTTATTTTTTGGGGGAAATGGTATTAAACTTCTTCGGTTGGTGAGAAACTCAGGTATCCATCACTTTCATGGCCTCTTGTTTTCCACTTGGACTACAGGTAAAAAGCCTTGTTTCTGGAGAGCACATGAAATAGAAATGCTAATATCTTGCCAGCATTCATTTGATGATTGATTTATGGTTGCGCAGTCTGTGTGAAAAAAACGAATAGTCATAATTAAAGTCCAAATATTATCTCAGTTTTCCATAAGTCACCCTTCTACCGGAGCAGTACTACTTTGTGCTATTTTGTTCTGGCTAGTGGTGAGCTCCTACCATCATTAAATATCTTCTTTAATTCTAGGGATCTATCTTCTGGATTTAATCTACATTGATTCTGCATATCCTGCCTCAGGCAGCATCATGGAAAATGAACAGAGATCCAATCAGATGAACAATATTCTCCGAATAATTGCTGATTTACAAGTTTCCTGTAGCTACGGTTAGTACACTTGGCTGTTGGAATTGTAAAACCTCCCCTCATTGATGTTTAGATCTAGCACCTTATCCATAAGAAAGCTCTAGAAATCAGGCAGGCCCCACAGAGGTCTTCATTTTAATATCTCGAGCCTCAAACATGTATTAGATCCTTCACACATAGGTTTGATCTTCAAAGACTGTGCAAACTAGACGTTACTGTTTCTGTAGGACAAATAAGGACACTGAGGCTGAAGAGAGTTTAGTCACTTGTCTATAGCCACTCATCTCGTGAGTGGCAGAGCCCAGGTCTGTCTGGCTCCCAGTGCATTCATTCATGAAGAGCTCTGGGCAGCTCTGCTCCAGCAGCCTCCATCTGGGAGGGTCCTTCTGTCTGTGGCTCTGCTGTCTCCCATGGCCTCAGAGCCCTCCACTGGGCTCTATTCACATCCAGCAGGCAGATGCAGGAAGAGAAGGACTCATACAAGGGTGGGCTTTATGGGCCACTTGCAAGCATTTCACATCACTTCTGCTGATGGAGGCTAGGAAATATAATGTAGCTGTGGACCTAGAAGGAAAAGAGAGATGACATGGTAAACAACTGGCCAGGCTCTGCTACACGTGGCCAGATCCAAGTGTGATCATGGCAGTGGGTGTCTGGGATAGATGAAGAAGATTGTTGGAGATGATGTCCAGGAACTGAGAAGTCAGAATTCTGCTGGGCCACTCGTGTGGGTGTTGATTTCACCCAAGAAGACAGTGCGCTTGGGGTGTGGAGCTCAACTTTGAGCCAGGTGTCCAAGTCCCCGTGTATGAGCCCAGGTGACCAGGTGGCCAGTCAGAAGAGGACAGCAGTGAAGAGGAGGATGGATGGGAGAGCTCTGGGCAGCAGGGTTTTCACGAGTGCGTGGAGGGGTAAAAGTCTGGAGGCAGTCCTACCTACAAGGCACAGAGTATAGAAAACGAGCAGCCTCCATCTGGGAGGGTCTCAGGGAAGCCAGGGGTTCCTGTGGGTGGGCACACTGAAGCAGGGGCCCTGCTCACCAGCCCCTCCACAAGCATCCCAGGGAGGGTGGGTGCCCACACTTCCAGGAAAGCTTCCTCTGAGAAGAGGGATGGCGGGCACCTGTGTTCCCAGTGCAGCCTTGCCTGCGCCAGGCTCTTTCCACTCACAAATGCACTGATACCCACTGTGCCACCGACCAGCAGGGCAGTCGCAGACATAGGCTTTGGGGTCACCAGATGCAGGTTCCAGTTTCAGCTCTGCCTCTTGGAAAATCGCTTTCTCCTCTCTAAGGTTTTCTCATGTGTGAAAATGGGGACATGACTCGTGCAGTGTCCTTAGCACAGCCCCTGACATTTCCTTAGAGCCCAGCAGGGGCTCACTTCACTCTTACTGCTGTTCATCTTCACCTGTGTCATCCCCATAATGAGCTTTGCTTCCTTATCCTCATTTCAGAGATGAGGACACTGAGATGCAGAGAAACAAAATGACCTGTTCAGAATTAATTAAGGGGCAGAGCTATTAGGTGCTCCCGCAGCACCTGGACGCACCTCCTCAGAAAGCGAGGCCTTGGCCACCCTCTCCTGTGCTCTTCTTTGTGCCCTCTCCCTCCCCTCCACCCCTCCCCTTGGCTTCTTCTGCCCACCTCTGGCCCTTGCAGAAGGAATACAGTGACCTTGAAGGTCTGCAGAGGGCAGCTGACACCAGTCACTCTGAGGAAAGGGAGGCAGCACAATGTGGTGGAAGCCTCAGATGACCAGGCCCCCAAAGATGACTTTGCCACTGCTCAGCCATGTGATCTTTGCAAGTTGCCGCAGCCTCTTCCACTGGGCAATGAGAACATTATTTCTCCCACATGAGGTGGTGTGAAGGTTAAAGCAGACCCCTGCGAGTCACCAGAGCTCAGAGAGGGGCTCAGGCGTCTGGGTCCTCCCTTCTTCCTCAGGATGCAGCAGCTCCAGGCAGGGCCGGGATCTGGGTTGGCATCTGCACCAGGCCGGGTGGCATCTGCTCATTCATTCTTGCATTCGCGTCACACAGTGACCCCTGTGGAAACCGATTCCAGGGTGCAGGCACCTGGCCGTGGTCTGCTCTGAAGGCCAGGGAGCCATCCTTCCCCCGCCCCTGAGCTCCGAGTGGCGCCCCCAGATCCTCCTCCTGGCTGAAGAACGGTGGTGGCCTCAGAGTGTGGTGTCTGTGGCCCAGCCACCTGGGAGTACTCCCTGATCTCCCCTCTGTGCCCAGTGGCCAGCACAGGGCCAGACCCCATAGAGCAATGTTGGAAGAGTGAATAAGTCTCAGTGTCCAAGGAGCATCTAAAGTCAGTGATTCCTACACTTCTCATTTGAGCCCTAGACGTGGGGGAGTCTGAAGCCTCTGGATTTTGTCCACCTTTTGCAGATCACCTCACCACCCTGCCCCACGTGCAGAAGTACCTGAAGTCCGTACGCTACATTGAAGAGCTCCAGAAGTTTGTGGAAGATGACAACTACAAGTAAGTGCCCACCCACTCCCATTCAGTGAGGCCTCCCCATCGCTGCCGTTGCCCTCAGCACTCAGGTCCCTGCAGGCAACCTGGCTCTTGAGACCAGTGGGTGGCCACTGGCCAGGCTTATCAGAGTGCACTGCAGCAGCACCCACCCCCAACGCACACAAGCGCACGTGTGCAGTGTGAGCTCCCGCCTCCCGGATCCTGTAGTGGTGCTGTCTGAGCAGCTCTCACACCCACCTCTGCCCCAGCCCCACAGGCCCCCGGTTCTTGGTGTGGCATTCCCACATGGCATGGTGAATGGCGCCAGCTTGGCACACGGCTTCTTCAAGTGACCCCCTGCCCACGGCGCTGGGTGGAGAGCAGTTTTCTAGCCGTACCCCCAGGCCAGCGAACAGGAGTTCCCCAAGAGCCCGTTGCAGGACAAGACAGTTCCTTATGGCTCTTGACTTTCTGCAGGATTCCTGCCATCTGGCGGTGGCCGAGGCCCCAGCTCCCATCCCACGCAGCTCCCATGGAACAGACCCAGTTCTCATAACAACCCCGTGAGCCCTGTGGCCTCATCTTCCCTCCCCCTACTCTGGTTTTCAGTTCTTCCTCCATTTGTGACATCTAGGAACTTATCCATCCTTTCTACGTATTTGGAAGGAGAAGGAGGATTTTTCTTGCCACCTCTCTGCCACGTTGTTTGGAAATCCTCTTGGTTCATTTTGAGCTTGAGGTCAACTAAGAGCCTCAGTCATTTTTCATATGACGTGATACTAAGGCAAGTCCCAGCCATCTTGTACTTGATCATTTATGACCTAAATGTCAACTTCACGTGTACAGAGGGGTCTTCACCTTAGGATGGTTCAACTTACAATTTTTCAACTTCACAATAGCGTGAGAGTAAAATGCGTTCGGTAGAAATGGAACTTTGAGTACCCATACAACCATTCTGTTTTTCACTTTCAGTACAGGGTTCGGTAAACTACATAAGATATTCAACACTAGAATAAAATAGGCTTTGTGTCAGATGATTTTGCCCGACTGTAGGTTAATGTAAGTGTTCTGAGCACGTTTGACATAGGTTAGGCTGAGCTATGATGTTTGCTAGGTTAGATGTACGAAAGGCATCTTGATGATATTTTCAACTTAAATGGGTTTGTCATAGTAAGTCAAAGGAACATCTGTGTTCTTTTAAAGTAGTATTTTACTGGTTGCTTCCAGTATACCATGATTCTCAAAGGAAGATTCAAAGATCTTGTCATCCAGTATATTTTCTTAAATCTCTTCCAGTTTTGTCATCTACGAATTTGATCATCCTAATTACATGGTCTTCATTTAAGTCAGTGAAAACTGTAGACAACTATGGCCACAAAGACATCTCCCCACCCCCGGGCTCCCCCCGCTGCCTCAGCCAGCGAGACTCGAGGGGAATGAACGGCTGCTGGAACAGCGCCGCAGGAGGGTCACTGCCCTGGCTGGGGATCAATCACCTGGGAAATCTACTAACCACCCAGATGTCTGGGTGGGGCCTGAAAATCTGTATTTCTTCCAATGCTTCCTAGGTGGTTCTACTGATCTTTGGGAACATAGATTTGTTATCTTTAGTTGTTACTATAGAATGATTTGCTAAAATATATGAAATTGTGATCTATTACATAATAGTAACAGCAATAGATAATGGCTAGAGATTACCATTAAAATCACACTGACCACAAATTGAGCTCATTTTATTTACAAAGCATTTGCTGTTCCTGAAAAGAGTGCCCTGGAGTGAGAAATTATTCCCACTTAGGCTCTGGGATAATATTTTCCATGAATGTGCCAGTATTGCGATTAAAGAGACAGTAGTTTTTCATTAACACTAATATGCTTTAAGGAGAAAAATGGTCTATAAATACCTTTGACCATGAGATAATCCTTGGACAAGCTGCAGATCATGAGTAATTACTCCTTCCATTCTGAAGGACATTAAACACCCCCAGCACTTGGTGCTATAATAGTCAGCCTGGGTTTTACAAAAGCCCTTTGTTGTGGTCAAAGTGGACAAACCAGGGAGGAAGCCTGCACTCTCATCCCTGGTCCCCAGGCCATTGGAGAGTCCCCAGGGAGCATCTGGCCCTGAGTGGCAAGAGATGGGCAGGACCTTGATTCTTGGGGAGCCCACATTCCACAGCCCACTCACGCCCAGAACCATGTGCTCTTCACCCCCAAAGGATGCAGTGACTCTGTTATTACATTTGTGACATTGTATTTCTAACATCCTGCCCCCATCTGCTTTAGAAATACTATGCCGAGAGGCCGAACCAGTGCTTTTTTCCCCCCTCAGTCTTTAGTCTTATTTTATTTTATTTAAGAAAAATTACCCAAGTTCCTGCTACCTAGAAAGCATGACCATCAGCATTAAGTAAATATAATTTTGGACATTTTGCTATGCATGCAAAATTTATATATAGAGAGAGGAGGATGGATAGGTGGATAGATATAGGGATAAAATGTATTAAAATTTGATTATACTACACTTACTGTTTTTAACTAAAAATATTAACTTTTATTTTACTTTAACCAGAAAAAGGAACTTAAATGAAATGTGAGAAATTGCTACTCTTTCAATAGATACTTCCTTACCACAAGAGATAAAAAAAATCCTTCTAAGATTAATAAAAGAGATCAGGAAAAACATTAAGAGGTTTGAGTCAGTAAGTTTGATTTTTGACTAGGTTTCCATTGTGCAGTGTTGGTTGACTCTGGTATGAGAGAGGAGAATATTAGCACTCTCCCCTTTCCTTCACCTCCACCGCACAGCCTCCAACTTTTTGTCAGTTGTATTATTGTTACCATGCGGTCCAAGTTTATAACATAAACACCATGTTCAGGAATCATAATTCCTACTGTTTAGTATTTTTAAAGAGATTCAATTCTTACCACCTGTTGTTTCTCCACAGTTTCTCCATTCCTGGAGTCTTTATTTTAAATCAATCCCTTATTTAGCTGGATTTCATCAGGAAATGATGAAATCCCTTCCCACCCACTGCCAAAAAAAAAAACGAAGGCGCTCACAGGTCCCGCATTCCCTGATTTCTTTCCTGGAAGCGCCTGCATCTGACGGGGCCTCCCTGGCCTTGCGGGGGCCGCGCTCCCTGCCGCCGTCTCCGGCCGTGCACCCTGCGCTTGCCTTCTGGCCCTGGGTGTTGCTGCAGAGAATAAGCCAGTCTGATTTTTTCCCTATTGTAAAGGACTTGTTTTGTCTGCCTGGTGGGCAAAGAACTCCTTGAAGTCCAAAGGCTTAATAAGGGAGTGCCACAGATAGAGGGTTCCGTACCAAGTCTCCCTGGACCGTGGTGTCCGCTTTCTTCGTTTCAGAGGAAGTCTTTTGGTTTGTCTTTGACTACTTCTGTGCCACTTCTCGGCTTCTCTCTTCCAGGGATTCCAGGAATCCCTGTGTTGGATGTCCGGTAGCTTCTTCCTAGCGCCTGCAATCTCCACCTATTCAGCAGCAGGCACTAGGGTGGCCTGTCTCTGCCCAGGTATTCATCAGTCCTCTCGCGTTTCAGTCCTTGGTCTGTTCCCTTAGGTCTGCAGTGTCCCTTGCCATCCCACTCCTGTTTCATTGCCTCATTTTTTAGGTTTTGTTCCACCCAACCATGTTCTTAATAAGTCGTTCCACTGCTCGGAGCGCTCGGGGGGTCCTTCCCCTGCTCCTGGAGCTGCCTTCTGGGTTGGGCCATGGGGCAGTGCTCTCCTCCCTCTTGCCTCCTTTTGCAAGAGGATGTGAGCTGTGTTGCCACACCACTTCTTTTCATCTTGCTCCCATTGGAGAGGCTCTGTCTGGATGTTCCGTGGCGCTGATCCAGGAAGGAGGCGTGTGGCCCTCCTCCACGTGTGACAGCGAGGCTGGCTGGGAGGGGCAGGGGGTTTAGGCTTTCTGCTCTTCTGTAGCCCGGGGAGTAGGAGGTTCGGGCTCCATGGAGGCAGTAAGCAAGCAGTCCGTTTTGTGTGGTGGGATCCAGTAAAAGGCCTATTTCAGGGTTTCCTTCACCTCTTTGGGGGGCTGTATCCCATTCCACACGGGGATACGCTCAGGTTTCAAATCATGCCCCATGGAGCCTTCATCTCCATAGGCATATCCGCCATGCTCTCTGCCCATCTCCTCCATTTCTCCCCAGCACTGGCTGCCATTCAGAAGAGGGAAAGATTAAGACCCCCGCCCAGACCCACAGAGACAGGTCGGAGGACAGGAGAGGAGCCATGCTGTGTGGCACCGCTGGGTCCAACTTCGGAACCCTCTGTTTCTTTCCTTGGCTGCGAGTCTTTAAAGTTCGTGGCCTTGTACTATGCCCACTGCCTTGTTTAGCCGCAGCCGGTGGGTTCTTTTACTCATAAGCTTTTATAACTGGTAGTCAGTTTTGCTGGGAAAGGGAGAGTCTGACATCTATCTTCACTGTGTCATTTTCACCCAGAAGTTCTTAACTGGTGCTTTAAAAAATATACTGAGGTGCCTCTCTGAGGGCATCTGATAAGAGAGAGAGCACAGTATAATGATTAAAAACTCCAGTTCAGGGTTGGACAGTCCTGGGCTGATCCCCGACTCTGCCACTTGCTAATCCTATGAATTTAGGGAAGCTACTTAACCTCACCACTGCTCAGTTTCCTGATTAATTTTTTAATTTTTAATTTTTATTTATTTTATTAGTAACATCTATTCATCTGGAAAGTTTTCTCATCCCTAAAAGGTACCTGGCTCATGGAGTTGTCATGAAGAATTGACACATATGTGCTCAGTAAACAACAGGTTATGGTCTCTCTTTTTACTTTGTCTTTCTTATCTTAACCATCGTTTCTTGGTCTTGGAAATGCCCAGGAGAACTCAGAGGGAAGTGGCTGTGGTCTGGAGCAGATCTTACAGTATTCCTGGATTCTCTGACAGTGGTAGCCCTTCACAGCCATCCAGTCTCCCAGCCCCAAACACACACATGTTTCGTTTCCCCTGTGATAAACCAGATCCCAATTGATCTTGTGAACATCTTTGTTTTCAGACTGTCACTCAGAATCGAACCAGGAAGCAGCTCTCCGAGACTAGTCTCTTCCAAGGAAGATCTTGCAGGTATTGTAGCTACCTCAGGTGGGAGCAAACCCGCCAATAGCCCAAATATGGCTGCCAGAGTTGATGGTGGGGCCCCCACTTGCCGGTGGGGCCAAAGGGAAACATTGAGATTGCAGCTTGGCAGACTCAGCTGTCCCTGCTCACAGCCCTCCCTGCCAACCTGCCCAGGCTCCTGACCACATGGGACCCCTGTGGGACACTTCTGTGCTGGGGTTCCCTGGAAGAGGCTGGGTGTTGGAGCTTGGGACCAAGCAACCCCAAGAGGGGTGAGATCAGAGCCCCGAGTTGGGAAGGGTACACACGGTAGAGAAGACTGCAGGATCTTTTCCAGGTCATCTGGACCCGCATCAGCAGGGATGCTGCCCAGGCTCGGGTTCATGTGCCCTGCAGGGGTGCACAGGATGCCTGGGGTATTTGGTGCCACCAGACACAGGTGGCTCGTCATACTTGTGGAACACACACATGCACTCTGTGTCCCCTGTGATCAGAGCCTGGGCTCTCTCACCTTTAGTGATCTCACTCACAGAATGGTGGTAATACTAGTACTCATGTTGTAGGGCTGTTGTGACACCCGAGTATGTCCATACCTGCAAAGCGCTCCACCCTTAGCAACACATCATGAAAGTGCACTCAGTGTTGGCTGCTTGTTGTTATCGTCATGGCTGCCTTTGATTAGTATTCCAACCAGTTCTCAGTAACTGGAGCTGATCTCTTTCCACTGCTGCCCAGGGAGAAGCCGGGGGTGTGGGGGGTCTAACAGCACTTCCTCCTCCTGGTTTGAGCTCTGGGTCACACCTGTCTGGGTTCTAGGCCACTGCAGTCTTAGCAAGTGACTTCACCTCTCTGGGCCTCAGTTTCTTTACCTGTAAAATGGGGGTAATAAAACCTTCATTCCAAGAATGTTGGATGTCAAAAATGAAATGCTATTCAGAAGGTATTCATTGTAGTCTGCCATGCAGTGAGTGTTCAGTAAGGGGGTGGCTACTGCAAGCTCCTATGTGGTGTCATGCCACCCCAGACTGTTGACCAGCTCAAGCCATTCTCTCCACTCTCCCTAGCCAGGCCAACCGCTGTAATATCTCCTGGTGGACACAGGACTGCAGAGCCCACAGGGAGCAGGGTGGTAGCCCCTCACTAGCCCCACTCAGCAGAGGCTCTGTCATGATCCTGAGTGTAGTCCAAGCTCCTGGTCTTTTCCAGCCTCTCCTGGCTCCCCTGTGCCACCTGGACCCTGCCCCTGGCACTCTGGGCTCCTCTGGAACTTAGCTGAAGAAGATACTGGTTGACTTTCACAGCCTTAGGAGGTGCTGTTGTTCACACCTCAAGACAGCGTGCTGGTGGAAGCTTGATTTTCACAGGGTTTCCACCACCCCAATATTAAAATGTCCTCTGGAGTCTTCCAAATCCACTACCTTCCATATGTGACAGGTGACTCCCCCAGCAAGGGTGGCCAGAAGGAAAGCTCTTGGCGCTGGCCTTGTGTCCACCTTCTCCTCTCTGTCTGTTCTAGAGCACCCTCCTCCTGTTAGTCAACATTGCCCCTTCCAGATGCTCAGTCACCTGTACCCGACCCATGGCAGTGAGGCAGGAGGCAGAGGGCGGGTTCCCTTCCCAAGGATACAGGAAATAGCGTGGAATTCCAAAGCAATTGCAGTGGCCTAGGGCCACAAAAGGAACACTAGCAAAGACTAGCCATTCAGGACCATCCTCAGGGCTGGTGCCGAATTGCAGCAGCATGGGGGTGATGCTCTGCCCCTCTGAGTCCCCTCCAAATGCATTTGAATAGTGGCCTGTCTGTTAGGCCTCTGTAGCCTTATCAGGTTGGTAATCACGCCTTAACAAGATGAGCCGTGTGTCTGGCATTCTCCAAATGCCAAGAAGTCCCCACGGCCACACTTGCTGCCCTTCAGACAGCACTGAAGGATTCCTCTCCTAGGGGCCTTCCTGCTGCCTGATTCCATCACTTCCACCCCTGCTGGGCCTGGCCGAGCTCACTGCTCCCTCCCCGCGTGCCAGAGCCATTGAGCAGGGAGAGACGGGAGGGCAGTGGTCACTGCAGAGGAGGGTGTTAGCCTTGGCGTGAGAGGACAGCTCTGCCCCTCCCAGTGGCTCTCTTCTTCTGCAGGCCAAACTCCAGCCTCATCTCCGCCTGCAAGTTGCAAGGCCTCTGTGAAGTTCTCCACCCCAGGCCCTTTGCCTGGGCCTTGAGCATTCTTCTCCTCGGTTATCGTAATCTTCTCTTGCTCATCCTTTTAGACTTGGAGAGGCTTTTATTTTTGCTCTTTCTTTCTTTGTGACGTTCATCACAACTTGTCATTATTTTCTTTGTGGTCACTGGGCCTGACTCGTCCCTTGTTGAATCTCCAGCACCTAGCATGATGCCTGCCCTTTGTGGACGCTTGACTCTCAAAGGGCTCCTGGGGGAAGAGATGGAGAGATGGACGGGGGGTATGTGCTGAAGCTCCCGGTCAGCCTTTGGTGCACGCTAGCCCAAGCATGAGAGGGGTCCTGTTGCTGCAGTTTCATGATCAGATCTGGCCCCCTCCTCCCAGTGCCTCCATGCCCACGTGCAGCCCAGGCCCTCCTCTGCCCACCTGGGCCTCTAGCACCTGTTCTTCAACACGTCTACAGGCTGCTTGCTGTCAGGGCAGGTGGCAGTAGAGGCCTGCTTGGTCCCTCCGGGCATCTGTCTGACCCAGGTGGTCCCTTCATGTGACCCCCATGTGCTCCGCTACCTCCTCCCTGAGGGGGAGACCAGGGCTCTGCCTCTGCCTCAGCCTCGGCCCCCAGCCTGGGTCTGCGGTGGGCAACAATGGCTCTCCCTGCTGGGGTTGGGGGTCGGAGTGGTAGACCAGGAGCCAGGCTTAGGAAACTAAAATTGCTAATTGGGAGCCTCAAGAGCTGGTCTCTCGCTGAGCCCTGGGCCAGGAAAGGAGGAGCTGCTTTTACTGGCCTCTTTGACCCTTGCCTGTTGTGGAAGCCAGTGCTGGGGACCAGGAGCCAGCCCCCTGCCCAGCCTCCTCCAGGTGTGGCCAGACTCTCCTTTCTCTCCGTCACTGTCACCTCCACCTGGCTCTGTCATTTGTTAGCCATGCAAGACCAGAAACCAGCAAGTCAACCAACCTTCAGTATCAGTCAGAGTCCTGGCAGGGGGCAAAATTGACCCCAGATGGCTCACAGAAAGAGACTTCTATGAACAGAACCAATGCAGCGTGGCGAGGCACCCAGCACCCCTGGCCAGAAGGACACAGGGAAGAAAATGTGTTATCAACCCAGACGAAGGCTGAGCCGTGGAGGACAGCTGGCTTGGCAGGAGCTGTAGGCGGGATGAAGGCTGAGGATGAAGCGGCAGGGAGTGGAAAGAAATGCCTGACCTGTCTTTCCTCCAGCCCTGGGGCTGCCGCTAGAGCCTCCCACTGGCCGAACCCGCAGGCAGCTGGGGGCGAGGAATCCAGGACATGCATCTCAGGGGTCGGCCCCCTCCCTGGCAGTGGCACTGAGCAAGGCAAAAAAATGCACCTGAGTGGGCAAACAGAACACCCTGATGACCAAGGTGTGTATGACCAAGCCTCAGTTTCTCCATCTGTAAAGTGGGCAGAGGATGTACCTCCCTCTGTGTTAGCGCAGTCCTGACACAGAGCACACTTACCAAGCGTGACTTTATCCTGAAGACGTGACTGTCATAATTGTTGTCAATGTTATGATTCTGCCTCTGTCACTGAAGCAGCCTGCAGGTCTTAGGTAAACCTCACTGCCTCAGGGAAGCCTTTCTCTCCCCATCACGCCCGCCCCAGACCAGGTCAGGCCCCACAACGCCAGGCTGGTGAACTGCGAGCCAAACCCATTTCTGTACGGAAGCACAGCCACCCCCGTCTGTTGACGCATCGTCTGTGGCTGCTTTCGTGGGACAAAGACCCTGTGGACCGAAAAGCCTAAACTATTTAGTATCTGGCCTTTGTAGAAGCTTGCCGACCCGTCACCCCTCCCACCACTAGTCCCTATACTTCTTCTCCATGACACGTCCCTCTGCGGCAGTCCCGCAGCTGTGTGCTTATTTGCCCACCCCCGTCTTCCCCACCAGACTGAAAGCCCCCTGAGGCAAGGACCCGCCTGGAATTCCTGGAGCCCAGCACGTAGGGGCGCTGGGGGACACCCGCGGTCACCTGCCCTCGCCCCTGCAGCACCAGCCCCTGAGCCCCTTGCTGGGCTGGAGGCTCCTGGTTCGCAGAGGCAGCTCAGCTGGCGGCTGCTGACTCGGCAGCCTGCGGAGAAGTGCTGATGCCGCGGTTTCCCACAGTGCACGAGCCCGGCTCACAGGAGTGTTTTCCACCAATTTTCCAAATCCCTGGCTTCAGCCCTGGAAGCAGGATGTGAAGGTTTTCATTGATCACCAGAGTGTCGGGGCTGTCTGGAAGGCGTCAGTGGCACTCAGTGGTCCCGACCCCCACTCACGGCCTCAGCTGGCAGACAGTGGGTGCTGCTGCAGCCATGGGGCAGCGGGGTCCCTCGGGGGGTGAGGCCAGGGGGGCCCCCGGGGGCCTTTCTGGGCCAGGCAGACTGAGCCGCGTGGCAGGAGCCCGACCAGACTCAGGGACAGGAATGTGCCTCTCACAGTCCCAGGAATGGGAAGAACGCAGCCTCCCCCAGCTTCTCAGGAGGGGGGTATGGGCTCCAGCTCAGGCTCGTCCCATAGTCAGACACCCCGCACCTGCCAAGGAAAGGCCCCGCGGTATGCTCATTCGCTCGGTCCCTGGGGCTTGCCGGCCAAGGGCCTGCCACGGGCCAGGCACTGCTATGAGACAGGTGCCCTGTGGAAAGGCAAGAACCTGCCCTCCCGGGGCCCACATTTGAGTGGGCTGGGGGCAACAAAAGCCATGAGGGCAGGGAGGGGCACGCCGAGGAGCCGAAGGGAGGCTGTGTGAGCTGGACTGAGCCGGCTGGTGGGCTGTCTGCCGCTTCGTCCAGGCTGTACCCACTCCTCTAACCAGCGCACTTGGGGC